TTTGGGGCTTGCTTTTGATCAAGTCACCTTTGTTGTTTAGGCACAACTTGAGAGGAGCGCTTTCTCTGGGAAGGGGTTTTGGCGTTGCGCGCAAGGAACGTGTCAGCATCCACCCCCTCAGCCTCCGTGCCCCAAGGAAACACGATTGGGGACTCTGTGTTCTGCTTATACCGCTGTCCATCCTCACCGATCGACTGCTACTATTTCCAATCATCAGATACTGAAACGCACCAGCCTTCAGCCAAGAACCAGACCGCATACCCTAAACCCTAAACCCTAAACCCTAAACCCTAAACCCTAAACCCTAAACCCTAAACCCTAAACCCTAAACCCTAAACCCTAAACCCTAAACCCTAAACCCTAAACCCTAAAACATAAACCCTAAACCCTAAACCCTAAACCCTAAACCCTAAACCCTAAACCCTAAACCCTAAACCCTAAACCCTAAACCCTAAACCCTAAAACCCTAAAACCCTAACACCCTAAAACCCTAAAACCCTAAAACCCTAAAACCGAAGACAAGCTCCAGGGCGTGGACGGAAGGAAAAGATGCCATTGTTATGCTGGCTACAGGTGCCTGCGATGTGAATAGCCCCAGGGAGCCCAACGACCCTGTAGCCCAAGGAGCCCTAAGCCCTAAATCCTAAACCCTAAACCCAGTTGTACTCAACCACATAATACAGGGCTCCGTACATGAAATAGGGTACATCACTGAGCTTGCTAAGGTTTAAGGTTCGGGTCTCGGGTGTCTACTTAAACTCAATTTTTGCCATTACATAGCATAGAGCTGTTGACAAAAGGGATCTCTATTAACCCCCGCTGAGGTGTTGCACGTCTAGACAGCTCAGGGTCGAAAGTTAGGGTGGCGACTGCACGCTGCAATGGTTTTGGGGTCGTTTTCTTTTGCAAAAAGATGGGATGTGTTCATCTTTTTTCGCGCCTTGGGTGTCGGATTCAGAGGTTTCAGAAGGTTTAAAGGGACCTGATTCACGTTCACACGGGCAGTGGCTGCAACAGAGTTACAGTTGCAGGGAAGCCAAGGGGCCTCAAACACAACTAAACCCCTGCAAAGCAAAATGCACTCTTTACGTTTGGTCCACCTGTGTTTGGGAGAGTACGTGAGAAAGTTACGTTCTGATGTCGTTGTTAACTTTTTCGGTTGGGCGAGTCAGGGGGTAGTATAATCTCTACAAAGTCCAAAACAAGGAACGGTCGACGTCGTGACAAACACCCTGCTCCCATGCCAACTCATCAAAGTGCTAGTGGCTAGACGACATTGAGTGCTTGATCTAGTCGCTGTCGGGTGCAGGCTGGAAGTTGTCTAACCTACCTAAACCCTAACACCCTAAATTCAAGACACAAGGTGCGGGGAAGTCGGTCTGCTTCCAACTTCCTCCACTTTGTCGACCGGGTCGCCGCTGGTCGATACTCAGGCATTTAGTCACTTATCCTCAAGGCCCTTACCCTAAACCCTAAACCCTACACCCTAAGCCCTTGACCCCTTGGTAGGCCAGTGGTACCCTTTACCCTTTTTTTGGGGTTCAAGGTTCCCTTAAAAGTAACCAACCAAAAAAAGGTGCCCTTATTATAATATGATTACTGGGCTACCAAGACCCTGAATCCTAAACCCTAAAGCCTAAAGCCTAAAGCCTAAAGCCTAGACCCTAAACCCTAAACCCTAAACCCTAAACCCTAAACCCTAAACCATAAACCCTAAACCCTAAACCCTAAATCCTAAACCCTAAACCCTAACCATCCTTCGGTCCTCTTAAATCCTGAAGCCCCCTTGGTCAGGTCGGGATCTCAGGGCATCTAGCAAACCCGGGCGCTGTATGATTGTTCGGTTTCTGGGTATCCAACCCAGAGACTCCAACACCCCTTAATTCAGGAAACATTATCCCTTAGACCCTGTAAGGGAACCCCTGGAGAGTGCAAGACGTGTTTTCCCTGTGGGCTCGAACTTGTTAGCCTTCAGCTTAGAGTACTGAAGTAGCTACCCGGAGAACTTCCAGTTCTGCACCGATCTGCTTGGCATCCTCCACCCTAAACCTTAAACCCAATACCCTGACCCCTGAACCCGAAGTCTCAACCCTAAACTTAAATCCTAAACTCTAATCCTGCACCTGAACCCTAATTTTTTGAGGGTCGAATCCTGCGCCGTAGGCCCTGGTGCTGAAGTGTTCTTGTTGCTTACAACCCTCAACCCTGAACCCTAAACCCTATCCTGAGACTCCAATACCCCTGAATTCAAGAATATTCCTTGAAATCTAAGAGGGTTCCCTTCGAGGGTTTCAGGGATATTCCTTAATTCAGCCCCCTTTCCCCCCCCATTGTTGCAAAACCAGGATGGTCCTTGGTCATATCGCCGCTGATCTCCTTGATGCAAGACCAGGCCACCCCTTACAGCTCCATGATCTGTTCACAGAGAGCCGCAGAACCCTTAACACCCTAAACCCTAAACCCTAAACCCTAAACCCTAAAACTTAGGGTTTCGGATTGATTCAGGGTTTAGAGCAATGCAGCTTAATCAAGCAGTATACCTTAACCTTAAACCATGTACTAATCCCAGAGAGCCCAATACCCCTTAATTGAGGAAGGTACCTTAATTCATACTAAGGAACCCTTTATAGTTCAAGGTATATTCCTAAACCCGAAACCCGAAGCCCTAAACCCTAAACCCTAAGCCCTAAACCCTAAACCCTAAACCCTAAACCCTAAACCCTAAACCCTAAACCCTAAACCCTAAACCCTAAACCCTAAACCCTAAACCCTAAACCCTAAACCCTGCCAGGTGCACACCCTCCGCCAGAGGCAGATCCCTGCTGCCCTCTGTGGAACTGGCGGCGACTCTTTGCGGCAAAGTATGAGGGTTTGGGGCTTATTCAGGGTTTGGGGTCACTTTAGGGTTGAGGTTTAGGGTTTAGGGGTTTCGGGTTTAGGGTTTAGGGTTTAGCGCTTAGGTTTAGGATTTAAGATTTAGGGTTTAGCCTCAGTTTAGGGTGCACGGTCTCTAGAACCTCCAACCCCGGTCAATGATCCCAAGCCCCTTCAAGGCCCAAGAGCTGTAGCCTAAACAAAGCTCAAGTTCTGCTGTGGGTCATTATGAGTGCAGGGATACATCTCAAGCAAAGGGCGGAATGAACCTAGTATCTAGAATCCTGACACATGCGTCATTTATCTGCCTCGTTTGCCTAAACCAAAAGCCTCTAAACCCCGAAACCCTAATTCCCTAAACCTGAAACCCGTTTCCGCAGCCCTACCCAGATTCCTCTGTACCCATCAAAGAGAGAGAGAGAGAGAGAGAGGGAGAGAGAGGGAGAGAGAGACATACATAAATAAGTAAATATAAATAAATAAACAAAGAAAAACATACATAAATAAGTAAATATAAATAAATAAACAAAGAAAAAACAAACATATATTTACATATACACGCCTGATGTGCAATGTGTGTTTATATATATATACATATATATATATACCAATATCTTTATCTCGAAGATCGTATATCGTATGTATATATATATATGTATATACCATGAATATAGGCTACTCTGACGCGTCTCGACTTCAGGATTCGTCAAGCTGGAGTTCGATCGCCTCAGGGGATTTTCGCGTGGTCTACATGAGCCACTCGCTGTTTTCCCTGGGGTTGTGGCTTGTGGGTTCAGGTTTCAAGTGTCATTTCAGGGTTTCGTCGCCAGAGGGTTTAGGGCTTTAGGGTTTGATTGGTTCAGCTCAGAGTCTAGGGTTCAATTCAGAGTTTCGGTTCAGTTCAGAGTTTAGAAACGAGTCTAGTTCACCCCCAGCCAGAAGCCAGGTAGATGTGTGGAGGTCCCCTGAGCCCAATACCCTGAATCGAGGAAAACCCTTCCGTTTCCTTTCCAGCCTGTTCTTGTAAGGACGAACAGCCACTGGTTGGGGAGCAGTTGGGCTTCAGGTCAACCCCAGACCTTAAATCTTAGACCCCTCAACCCAAAACCCTAACCCCTAGGCGTTATAAACCCTAACCCCCAAACCCTAAACCCCAAACCCCAAAACCAAACCCCAAACCCTAAACCCTATAAGCCCTTTAGCCAAAAAAAAACCCTAGCTGAGGCCCGGAGTTCGCCCTGGCACGCCTGGCGGACATTGCTGCAGTCAGGCTACGGGCTCCCCTGGCCCATGCCTTCCCTAAACCCTTTGTAGGGTTTAGGGTTTAGGGTTTAGGGTGAAGGGTTTAGGGTTTAGGGTTACGTAGGGTTTTAGGGTTTTAGGGTTTTAGGGTTTTAGGGTTTTAGGGTTTTAGGGTTTTAGGGTTTTAGGGTTTTAGGGTTTTAGGGTTTTAGGGTTTTAGGGTTCTAGGGTTTTGGGGTTTTAGGGTTTAGGGGTTTAGGGTTTAGGGTTTTAGGGTTTTTGGATGCCATGACTGAACCTTTCGTTTGTAGGGTTTACGGTTTAGGTTTAGGGTACAGTAAACTCCCAAAAGTTGGAGCATCATGATCCCTCATACCCCAAGAGGGTTACTACAGGGAATCCCAGCACTACTGATCCTTAGACCATGTGCGAAAGTGTCTGGATTTTACTGTATTGGGCTCAGGGCCATTTGATACGTACCCGAGGTCCTGAGGTTGAGCTTCTTTGTTTTAGGGTTGTGGGGGGAGTACGGATACATAATTAGTCTCGTAGGTCGTAGATGCAAGAAGAGTGAGTAGGTGCCCCCGAGGCAGAAGCTGTAATTACTTGGGAGTCGCCTGTTCGTGTTCGGTATACAAATTCCGAACCCTGATCTTAAGCCAACGCTTTAGTTAAAAGGTGAGCTACCACGTTAATTACGCTGTTTCACTTTCTTTGTGTCCGTTTTTTTGTAAAACTTAGTGTAAGTTCCTTAACATAAAGCCGGATAGCCGAAAGCCTCTCGAGCTCGCAGAATCACAGTGAGTGAGAACCCTCAAAGCCTCAACCAGAATGGTATGCTTGTGTAACTTCCTGACGTGAATTGAAGAGCGCGACCGTCAGGCATGCGGTGTGTGTGCTGGCCATTGACGAGGCGCATTGCATCTCTGCGTGGGGCCACGATTTCCGGCCGCTGTACCAGAAGCTGGGTCAGTTGCGCGAGGCCCTGGGGAGGGTGCCCACGATGCGCCTCGGATTCTGCCTCCACATGCTGTTTAGGGTTTTAGGGTTCAAGTTTAGGGTTAGAAGTTCCCTGAAATGCAAGGCTTCGAGAATTCATAGTTACAAAAAAACTTAAAAAGGTCACTCTTCACAGGAATCAGCGGAGAAATTGCCCCGAAGCCCTCGAAGGTGCATATAAGAGGTCCCTTTAAGGGCCCATATTAAGGGACCATGCAACTACCCTAAGACACAGGAATGAGCGGGAAGGGACCCCGAAACCATCGAAGGTGCATGACCGCCACGTGCACGAAGGATGTGCGAGCGGACATACAGCGACTAGGACCAGGAGTAGGCCCTTATTTCCTTTCTGTTTAGGGTTGGGGTTCCCTTATAATCGAATTAAAACCCAAAAGGGGTGTTGCTAAACCCTAAACCCTAAACCCTAAACCCTATAAACCCTAAACCCTCAACCCTAAACCCTAAACCCTAAACCCCCTAGGTTACTCCTGCGTCTAGGCGAAGCCTGGGTCTTCAAAACTGTCTCCACATCCTCGGGCCCATGAACCGGCCGAACTTGAAATACGTCGTGCGGCCTCGTACCTTAGGGATACTTGGGAGTTTTTTTTAATCTTTGGGTACTATAGTTCCTAAGAAACAGGGATACTTGGGAGTAAGTGTTAGTGTTTGGGAGCTAGAATTCCCAAGAAACAGCTTAAATTATTGACAAGAGGCCTGCCCTCTTTCTCCCTATAGTCCTGCTTTCGCTCGTGGTTTTGTTGCATGGACTCAGTGGAGTGCAGAAGAAGAAGAAGAAGAAGAAGAAGAAGAATTTCGCTAGGGTTTTTAAGTTCAGTATAGGTACGACCTTCGAGGACGACTTGACTGGAGTGTTTGGCCTGCCTTCTCTGCCGGAGAGGGTGGTGGACAACACGGCCATCACGCCCACGTCCTCCTCCATCGTGCACCTAGGTTTTAGGGTTTAGGGGTTAGGGGTATAGGACCTGGACACTTACCATGTTCCCTTTTGGGCTTTAAGATCAATGGTCTGACTACCTTGAGACACTTTCCCCTGTTCGCTTCAAGATATGGCCTGACTTCTTCAGAATAAAGCGGCAACCTAGGTACGTGCCCACCAAGGCGCGTAGTGATGAGTTGGCTGCATGGTTGCAGAAAGCCGGAGTGGCTGCGGCATCCTATCACGCCGGTCTTCCCATTCAGGACCCAGAGAGTCCACAAAACCCCCTTAATCTGGGTCCTATGTTGGCTTTACTCTTACTTGCTTGTTATCATAAAAGCCAAATAAGAGTCAAAACTGATCATTCTTAATATAGCCCCAACAAGGACCCAGTAACGGTGAGTTCTCCAAATTCTGGTCCCTTATTCGGGGCCCTAAATTTTTTGGGCAAGTTCAAAAGGGGCGATAGCTTAGAGAAGTGCCCTACTTAAGGAGCATACCTTAAACCATACTGACAGGCCCTTGTTATGACTTAAGGTCCATTCTTATATACGGGTTATTGGGCTCTCTGCGGGCGGCAACTTGCAGTTATTAAGGCTCTTAAGGCATGTTGCCATAACCTTGAAGCATATGGTGTGTTTCACACAGGAACTTAAGATATAGAATCTCTGTAAGACTTAGCAAGTTAAGAGCAACCCAGAGGACCGTCATGACATCCACCGTGCCTTCTTGATGGACGAGCTCCAGGTGGTGGTCGCCACCATCGCCTTCGGAATGGGCATCGACAAGTCCTCGGTACGCCGGGTGGTTCACTACGGCGGAGCGCGCTCGCTCGAGAATTACGTGCAGCAGTGCGGCCGGGCGGGGCGTGATGGAGAAGATGCAGAGTGCATCACCTTCTTCAGGCCGGGGGATCTCCAGGAAGCCAGGACACTCATTCTTCAGGACTGTGGCCGCGCCAGCGAAGAGCGGGGAAGGCACATGTTGCAATTGCACGCCAAGTTTGCGGCTTTTCTGTCAGACTCCAGCCAGTGCCGTCGTGCCCGACTGCTGCAGCACTTTGACGAAGAGCCGCAGCAGCTGAGCCACGAACCAGTAGAGCAACGGAAAGGGGAATGCATTCAGGTGGGAAGCCTGCCGGCGCGATGCTCCTGGTGTGACGTGTGTCTAGCAGCGCCCAGCCAGGCTTCGGCGGCTCCGGCACAGGGCTGCGATTTCACCCAGGAGTGCCGCGTTCTTCTGCAGTGCGTCTCGGCATGCGGCGGCATGACCGGGTCTGCCCTGCCTTGCGCGCTTGCAGCCGGGCAAGCCACTGACAAGCTGAGAGCCAGGAACCTCCACCTCCACCGAGCATTCGGCAGTGGACGTCACAAGGCCCACTCCTGGTGGAAGGCATTTTTGCCACATCTGCTCCAAGCAGGGCTGTTGCAGGAGAAGCCTGCCAGGCTCGCCAATGGCTTTAGCTACGCGGCGCTGTCTGTGACGGAGCAAGGCTTGCGAATGCAATCCGCGCACCCTGCGCAACCTTTCTGCCTCTCTCCAGTGCCTTCGGATTTGGCGCCGCCTGCCCCTAAGCCGACTCCGAAGACGCTTCGCTCCCCGGCAATGCTACCAGGCACCGAGACACCGAGCGGCGAAAGTGCCTCACAGACTTTTCTGGACAGTAAGAAGCAGGAGCTGTATAGGCGACTGTCCCACATCCGACAGCAGTGGATGCGGCGGCTAAACATTATGGGGGAGTCCCTCGTGTCGAACCCCGTGCTTCGGATGCTGGCTGAGATCCGGCCCTCGTCTGTACAAGCCGCCCAGCAGACAGTTCCTGGGCTGCCCCTGCTTCTCACGGAGCAGCTGGCAAGCCTGCTGGAGGCACTCGTCTCGGAGGTGAACAAGCTGCCAGCCTGCGATTGCAGACTTGTGGTTCGCTTTCGGCCCTTTTTGTTCCAACCCGCGCCAAACTAATGCTATCTAGCTCTCTACTCAAGGAAAGATATTGAATTTTCTGGTTGGTGCCGCTTACAAAGAAGAGGTTCCTGAACGGTTCCCAGAATTACTCCTGCAGTTCTCAAGCCTCTGATTTTAGTTCCACTTCTCTCTCTCTCTCTCTCTCAGGGCTTCATTCTCTCCCTGCAGATCCTTACCCTCCTCTCCTGTCTTGTTCCTTTCTGACCTCTAACTTAAGACAGACGATGAGAGCCCTAAAGTGAAAAGCCCCAAGCCCTAAACTTTAAAAGCCAGCACCGAGGGGGGGGGAGGGGGGTTCCTAAACCCTCAACCCTCAACCCTAACTAAGCCCGAAATCCTAAACCCCAAACCCTAACTAAGCCTAAACCCTAAACCCTAAAAAACCTTCTAGCACCCTCCGAGGATGTGCCGAGAGTGCGGCCTGCCCCAGGAGGCGGCTCCTGCGGCAGCTCCCGCTGCTCGGGTGCTGTTTTAGGGTTTGGGGTTCAGGGTCTGGGGTTTAGGGTTTAGGGTTTAGGGTTCCTAAACCCTAAACCGAAACCCTAAACCCCAAACCCTAAGACCATAAGCCTAGCCCTAAACCATAAAAACACATAAACAGCCCTAATAGCACTCTGCCCGAAGATGTTCATCGGATCCAGGCGTTCAGGCCTAAGGGGATGCAGGGCCAGGGTTTTAGTGTTTGGGGGTTTAGGGTTTAGGGGGTTTAGGGTTTAAGGGTTTAGAGGTTTATGGGGGTTATGGGGTTTAGGGTAGATGCGTTGCTATCTGCAATCCACCGTCTCAGAAGCTAACATGCATATGCACCTGAGACCTCAACCATCAACCCGACGTGCTAAAAACCACGAGCCCACAACCGCAAAAACCCCTGAACTCTCGACCCTCAGGCCTATCCCCCCTGAAACCCTCAACCCCAAATCCTAAGCCCAGCCTGGATTACCAGCGTACCCATGAATGTGTTAAGGGGTGAACAGTTCGGGTTAACTTGGGCTTTTGTAAAGCCTACATTTCCATGACGTGTGAGCCAGCGTCTGCGAAAGATGCTCGAACAGGCGTGTGAGGGGAACACTTAGCCTGTAAACCCTCAACCCTAAACCCTGAACCTAAACCCTAAGCCCTTCCTTGGGGCCCAGCAAGCTAGTCATAAACCCTCTACAAGCACTTGGATTCTTACGCTAAAGCTCATCACCCCGAAGCCCTAAAGTCAGGCCCCAGATTCGCTGCAAAAGCGGCCAGGAGGATCACTGGTGACTTGTCGGCGTTAGAACTAGTCTAGGGTTCCTGCAAAGAGAGAGAGAGAGAGAGAGAGAGAGAGAGAGAGAGCGAAACCAAGCGAGAGCGAGCGAGAGCGAGCGAGAGAAAGAGAGAGAGAGAGAGAGAGAGAGACAGAGATGTGTCTAGGTTCGGGTTTTGAGGGTTTATACCCCTCAGTCTTGACGGGATAATTCTACTCTAGGACTAAGTAGTCTTGAGGGTTCAAGGTCTGAGGTTTATGGGTTGAGACCTGAGCGTTCAGGATTTATAGGGTTGAGGGTTCATGGCTTAGGGTTTGAGAGTTTGTCTCACAGAATGGTCGGGGCTTTGGCGCGGCTGCCGACATGCCCCCCCTAAGCCTTGAACCAAAAAGTCCAAACCCATCGGACTTTTAGTTGTTTGCTAACCCCCCCCCCCCCCCCCCGGCTGTAAGGTATACGCTTCGTTGATGAGCATGGGATTAGGGTTCCGGTCCGGGTACAGGGATATGAGGGGACTAATTATTCTGTTCGTGGGGTTCCGAAGCGCCTTGTCACCAGAGGGGGAACCTCGCCCAAATAAGAACCACATTTGATCTCAACACTCGGCCCCAAGCGGTTTCGGGTATCGGTTATTCACCCTAAACCTTACAAACTGCAAACCCTAAAATCCTCACCCGAAATCCGGCCTCAAGTCTTCAGACGGTTCAGCACCCCCCCTCTCCCCAAAGACGTTCAAATTTCGAGCCCAAAGATTAATGATTATCATGGAAAGCCTATGTAGAAGTCAAAAACGGAGGTGTTCGCTCCATTGTCCACAGTCCAAGTTAACCCTGTCAAGAAGTCCCAAGGCCCAACACACCCTCTGAAGCTCTAAACCCCTCAGCCGCTGCCAGACTCTACCCTAAACTCCGCGTTCCAAACCTTTCTACTCATCCGATCAGACGGCCCCCCCTAAACCCTAAACCCCAAACCCCAAACCCTAAACCCCAAACATTAAACCCTAAACCGAGGACAGGTCTCCAAAGTTTCGACGCCTGCCCACCACTTTTGGCACGACTGGGCTCATCTCCGCCGAGGGCCCTCCAGCTGAGCCCCCGAGGACTGATCTTGAGACTGATCTTCTTAGGGTTTAGGGTTTATAGGGTTCAAAAGGTTTATAGGGTTTATAGGGTTTATAGGGTTTATAGGGTTTATAGGGTTCAAAAGGTTTATAGGGTTTATAGGGTTTATAGGGTTTAGGGTTTAGGGTTTTTCGGCTTTTATCGGTTCATGGGGGTTTATATGCTTTGCAGGGTCTTCCAGGAGAGCTTGAGTAGGGCTTCAAGTTGCGTGCTTGGGGTCTGGGTTTAGGGCTGAGGCTTCCTTATGCCATACACTTCGGGCTCACGCCATTTTAGCCCCTTGGAAGCTGGGCATTCGCGAGTACCGCTGGCCTGACCCGGCTGTTCGCCATACATCGGCCAGCCGTTGTTCTTTCCAGCGCAGACTACGCGAAGTGTCCGAGGTCCCGCGGCCGCAGCGGTGAGTAGTGCTGCCAGGCTGCCTGTGGTAGGACAGCACACGCTGAATCTGGAGGGACCCCTAAACGCTTTCTGAGGAGAAAAATTGTGCAGCTCTTTCTGGCTTCTGCTACATAGGGCTTTATGGGGTGTTTTTTGGCGTTTCTGGGGCTCCATAGGGTTTGCAGGGTTTACAGGGTTTAGGGTTTAGGGTTTAGGGTTTAGGGTTTATAGGGTTCAGGATGATCTGAACAAAGGCAGTTGGTTGCAGCGCGTGCTCTCGTTCACAGCTGGACCTGACCCGGCTGTTCGCCATACATCGGCCAGCCGTTGTTCTTTCCAGCTGAGAAAGGATGTTGCGCGGACGCAGTTCATGCCAGGTACAATATCCTGTGCTTTGAGAGCTCTGCGCATCACAACACCTCATGAACGCCCGACTTTTGCGTTTGCGGGAAGAGTACTTGGAGGTTCATGGGTCGCTATAAGTAGGGCTTTACGTATGGTCACTCTACGTATAGCCCTATGTTCAATTTCGGGCACGTACAACCCTACTTTCAGCTACCCATGAACCTCCAAGCAGAGCCTAGGGCCTCCATTGAGCTTGAACTCTGTGCCAAGTGAGCCGCCACAACATGAACTTGGCGAGCCTGGCTAGACGGAGTGCATGCCGGCCTTCACTCAGCCCTAAACCCTTAAACCTAAAACCTCAACCCTGAACCCTAGGCCCTAAACCCGAAACCCTAAAGCCCCAACCCCGCCCACCCCGCCACCAAACTCGCACCCGCACTTGTGAGAGGCAGCACGCACTTGGAGGTTCATGATACTTATGAACCAATTAGAACTGTACATATAAACCACTTGTATGCCAAGCCCCTTAAGTGCCCTAATATGGTGCATCATTTTCAGACCCATTGGCAAGCGTGGTGCTGGAGTTCTCGCGGGACGCCGGAGACTCGTGCAGGTGTCGGGGGCTTGCCCTACGGCCGGCCATGCTCTCTGCCTTATTGTGGGATGGACGCATCCTGCATCGCCTGGGCATTTGCCGGTAGCGAGTTAGGCTGAAGAGGACCAGTTTTGTACCACCCTCAGAAGTAGGCGTGGAGAGGACTATGAGACACTGCGAGTGGCTTGTCATCCCCCTAATATGGTTATCTAGGTCCGGGAGTAGGCCCGTTTTCCCTTGTTTTAGGGTTGGGGTTCCCTTAGAATCCCCTTAAAACCAAAAAGGGCACCCTTTCTATTCCTAGGTGACTCCCGGGTCCAGTTATAAGTACAGTTATAATTGGTGAATAAGTACGTACCTCCAAGTACCCTAAACACCTAAACCCTAAACCCTAAACACTAAAACCCTAAACCCTAAACCCTAAACCCTGAACGCATCCTTCCGAGGAGCCCTTGCCCTCCAGCCACAGCTGTGGGCGGCTCTGCGTCTCGGCAGCCTATGACCGACAGGAAGGGTCCGCAGTTTAGGGTTTAGGGTTTAGGGTTTAGGGTTTAGGGTTTAGGGTTTGGGGTTTGGGGTTTGGGGTTTGGGGTGTAGGGTTTAGGGTTTAGTTTATCATGGAAAGCCCAGTAGAAGTCACAAGCGGAGATGTTCGCTTCATGGTCCACAGGCCAAAGCTAGCCCTGTCAAGAAGTCAAAAGGCCCAACACACCCTCTGAAGCTCTGAACCCCTCAGCCCGCTGCCAGACCCTTCCAAAAACTCAGGGTTCCAAACCTTTCTACTCATCCGATCAGACGGCCCCCCTAAACCCTAAACCCTAAATTTTTAAACTCTAAAACTCCAAACCCTAAACCCAGGACAGGTCTCCAACGTTTCGACGCCTGCCGACTACTTTTGGCACGATTGGGCCGAGGACTGCGACTGAGAGGTTTAGGGTTGGGAGTTTAGGGGTTTAGGGGTTTAGAGGTTTAGGGTTTAGGGTTGTTCGGCTTTTATAGGGCGCACGGGGCGTGCGTGCTTTTTAGGTTTTAGGGTCTCCTGGATAGGGTCTTCCAGGAGGGCTTGGCTAGGGCTCGATTTACCTACAGGTTAGTAGTCACTACCGCTATATAACTAGTAGGTATAGCTCATAAAACTGTATGTACAGAGGGTCCCAGGTATACATATAGTTCGCGAGCACCGCTGGCCTGACCCGGCTGTTCGCCATACATCGGCCAGCCGTTGTTCTTCCCAGCGCAGACGACGCGAGGTGTCCCGCGGCCGCAGCAGTGTGTAGTGCTGCCAGGCTGCCTGTGGTAGGACGGCACGCTGAATCTGTG